AGCGGAAGATGCCAGGAGGACGCGCCGCGGAACGTCCCAAGGGACGCGCCAGGCGACGTGCCAGGGGACGTGCCACGGGGACGCACCGCGGGACGTGCCGAGGGGACGCGCTACGGAATGTGTCAATGGACGTGCCACGGGACGTGCCAGGGGACGCGCCGTGCGACGTGCCAGGGGGACTCGCCACGGGACGCGCCAGGGAACGTGCCAAGGAACGTGCCAAGTTGCAATGCTGAGTGTATCGATCTTGATGTACCCTGCCGCGGGCTGTGCTGTGCTGCGCCGTGCTGAACTGCGATGTGCCATGCCGCGATTGTGCTCTATAGCATTGTGGATCGAGTCCTCCTTTGCATCCGAGTCCTGAACGGGCTGCTGTGGTGTACATAGGCGGTGTGGTGTTCACAGGCGCCGTGGTGCACGCAGGCAATGTGGTGTACACAGGCGCTGTGGTGCAGATCGCCACCTACATGGTCCTGCTATCCGTCCTCGGTCCTTCCTAGGCATTCCCAGGCGCCGCTGGCGCAAGACGTGACATCATCGGCCCCGCTCATCCCCCCCCAAATGATTGCCGCCATCGGCCCGGAATAATAAAACAGGCTCCATAGGCGTCCGCGCGCACGACGATGATAAGCGACGAGCGACGAGCACGACAACGACAACGACGACGACGACGACGACAACGACGACGACGACGACGACGACGACGACGACGACGACGACGACGACGACGACGACTGCGGACCAAAGTCTTATGCGAACACCTCTGCGGATCTCGATGCGCACGGCGGCAGTGTCCGGAGCGCACTGGGTGGGGGGGGAGCGTTACGTCCTGGGGGGGGCAGGGGGGGGGGCGGGGGCCATGACGCCCGTCATGCCCCAAACAATAAAGAAACACGCCCTTTCTCATCCTGCATGAATTTTTGCCGGTCCCGAGGTCCGGAAAGGCACCCCAGAGGCTGAAAATAACGAAAACCTTCCCCGTCGTGAATTTGTCATGGCCCGAGGGGGTCTTTGAAATGGTCACTCCGGCCAAGGCCGCTCTTCCCAGACACGCGATGTCCAGCTTTTGTCGCTCTACGGGGTTCCCAGAAGGCCCGGCCCTCTTTCCACGGGGCCCATTTTTCGTCCCAGGTCGTTACTTGACGTCCTGGGGTTCGGCGGGGATCTCAGGGGCCAGAAACAGCAAACACTGCCCGTCGTGATTCGTCACGAACATAGATTCCCGAACCATTGGCGAGTCGTTCATGTTGAATATCCTGGTTTTTCCTTAACCGAGCAGCCGTGGGGATAGCTTGCGAACATCCGACCACGAACATGTTTTTGCGCACCCTTCCGAACACATTCCCAGACATGCGACGCCCTGAGTTTTTTAGCACGGGGTTCCGAGAAGTCCCGACCCGTTTCCCACGACCGGCTTCTCACCCCGAATCTTTTTGTTGACGGCCCTGGGGCCCGGCGAGGGCCCCCCGGAGGCCCAGAACGGGCAACAGAAACACCCCCTCGTGATATATGTGTCTCGACGCGAGGCCTCGAATGGCGCAACTTCGGCCTCCCCCCGAGCGGGCACCCCCCCCGACGTTGCGCCCCGATCGTGCGCACCCCGCGCCCCCAACCCGGCAGGCCAGCGCTCCCGCTGCTCGGCGCGGGGCGCCTCCGCCGCTCCGCACGCCTCCGCCGCCCGGGCGGGGCCCCGCCGGGGCGGCAGCGGAGAGCACATGCGGGGCGTCGGCGCGAGGTGCGGGTCCGACCACTGTGGGCTTTTCGGTGATGTGCGTGCTCACGCGTGCTTCGGATCTCGGAGGCAGAAGATGAGGGCCCTGGCGCAGCGCTCGCGAGTTGCGCTGCAGGCGACGCGTGATCGGTCGCAGGGGCTGGAGGGGGTCGACGTCCAGAACCGGTTGCAGCACGGCCGAGAGGCCGCGGCCCTGGCCAGGCAGCAGGCGCTTGCGCACATCCCCCAGGTCCAGAGGCCCGGCGGCCCAGCTCTCGCGCAGACCTCGAGCTGTCCTCGGGCGGCCCCTCTGGCCCCGGCAGGCCTAAGACTGCTCGAGAGCCTCCGGCCGCGTTTTCTCCCGACGCGAGGGGGTCCGCGCCCTGCGCGCAGCCGACCCCTGCGCGGCCCACCTGCGCGCCCCGCGGACGAGGCCAGCGACGCGGCGCGGGAGGGAGGGCCAGAGGGCCCAGCGGCGCGGCCGCGCGGAGCCCCGGGGATGCGCGGCCTCGGGATGCCCTCCAGAGGCTGCGCCTCGCCGAAGCCCGAGCTCTGCCCCGAGGACCAGCCGGGAATCGGCGACCAGGGGAGGGTGGGGGAACATCGAGCTGGAATCGGCGATACGTCGCCGATAGATCAACGATAGATCAACGATAGGCTCCCGATAGCAAATCCGCCGATCCGGCGTGTGAGTTTCTGAGAGCGTGGGCTTGAGCTCGCTCAAGCTTCGCTCTGCGGGGGGGGGGACCTCATTTCCGACCTAATTCAGTGCTTCGGGAGTGGGGGGGGACCTCATTTCCGACCTAATTCAGTGCTTCGCACCCCCTCCCCCTCCAGAGCGAGCCCTCCCCCCCTGCAGAGCGCCCCCCCCTCCCCTCCTGCAGCCCAGCCCCCCCTGCCCAGCCCCCCCCCTGCCCTGCACCCCCTGCAGAGCAGACCCCCCCCTGCAGAGCGGACCTCCCCCTGCAGCCCCCCCCCCCTGCGACCCCCCCCTCCCCTGCCCCCCCCCCCCTGCAGAGCAGACCCCCCCCCCCCTCCTGCACCCTCCCCCTGCAAGCGGAACCCCCCCCCCTGCAGCCCAGCCCCCCCCCCCCTCATGCAGAGCGGACCCCCTCCCGTGCAGCCCCGCCCCCCTGCAGAGCGGACCCCCCCCCTCCCCTGCCCCCCCCCTCCCATGCAGAGCAGACCCCCCCTCCTGCAGCCCCCCCCCCCCTGCAGAGCGGACCCCCCCTCTCCCCTGCAGTCCCTCCCTCTGCCGAGCGGACCCCCCCCTGCAGAGCAGACCCCCCCCTGCAACCCAGCTCCCCCCCCGTCGTCGTCGTCGTCGTCGTCGTCGTCGTCGTCGTCGTCGTCGTCGTCGTCGTCGTCGTCGTCGTCGTCGTCGTCGTCGTCGTCGTCGTCGTCGTCGTCGTCGTCGTCGTCGTCGTCGTCGTCGTCGTCGTCGTCGTCGTCGTCGTCGTCGTCGTCGTCGTCGTCGTCGTCGTCGTCGTCGTCGTCGTCGTCGTCGTCGTCGTCGTCGTCGTCGTCGTCGTCGTCGTCGTCGTCGTCGTCGTCGTCGTCGTCGTCGTCGTCGTCGTCGTCGTCGTCGTCGTCGTCGTCGTCGTCGTCGTCGTCGTCGTCGTCGTCGTCGTCGTCGTCGTCGTCGTCGTCGTCGTCGTCGCTCGCGTCATCGTCGTCGTCGTCGTCGTCGCGTCGTCGTCGTCGTCATCGCCGTCGTCGTCGTCGTCGTCGTGGTCGTTGTCGTCGTCGCTCTCGTCGTCGTCGTCGTCGTCGACGTATTCGTTTTCGTCGTCGTTTTCGTCTTCCTCGTCGTCGTTCATTTCCACAGGCACCTGGAGCGCCCCGGATCGGCGGCACTGGCCGGAGGCCACTACAATCCGCACGTTCCTGGGCAGGTTGGGGCTATCCGGCCCCTATCGGCGATGAATGGGCGATTCGAGATCGATGCACCCCCCCTGAGCCGATCGCCTCCTATCGTTGCCCCTGACAGGTGGAGCCGCACCGATGGCGAGATCGACGCAGGCATGGCGCGCGGCAGTCCCAGGGAGCCGGGCGCTGCAACTCTGTGCGCGCTCGAATTTTCGCATGGTATCGGGCCCTGCGGCCCTGAAGAACCGATCCGGCAGGAGAGGTGCCGCAGAGAGGTGAGGTCTGGGGCTGAAGAGGTGCTGCACGATGCTGCATCTCTGCTCGCGGCGCCGGACCTCCGGGGTACGTACTCGACGGCAGGCGACGGAGGTCTGCGCCTGGCATGCAGAGGCAGCCGGCACCAAAAGCAGGCTGTACAAGCATGTCGTCGCGCTGGCGGCAGGCCGGTGGGCGGCGCGCAGCCCCGGGGCGGCGCCCAGAGCCCGGACTGTTTCCTGCTTCGGGCGCAGAGCGCGGCGCGCCCCGAGGACACAAGGACGGCACCAGTCAGTCAGAAGCCGTGCACCAGACGGTGCGCTAGCAGAGGTGGAAAATGCACCAAATGCGACACGATTGCACTGCCGACGCCCACGCTCGCGCTGCACCGCCCAACGGCACCAACGATGGATATATCACCGAGGTCCGCCTACGCTGCTGCGCAGAGCCAGACAGACGCCGCCCAGCAGACCTGCGGTGGAGAATGTCTGCTCAGCGTGTCACGGCGGCGGCCCCTGCGTCGCGCCGTGCCCTGAGCGCTGACAACGTGCCGCTCTGCCTCGCGGGACGGAAGGCTGGGAAAAGCCTGGAACGTCAATGCTTGGGGGCCAGGGCGTGCTGAGCGTGCCGCGCCGAAGCGCGGTGGGCCAAAGCAGGCGGGCTGCTTGCTTCCGGGGGCTCACGGGCGGACTCGGCGGCCCAAATTTCTCCCCCCGAACGGCGGCGCGAGAAGGCCGCGGCACGGGCGGGGCTGCGAGCCCCAGAAACCTGCGCACGGAGAAGAGCCCGAACTGGGCACAAAAAGGTAGCGGTGCCGCTACGCCCCGGACCTCTCCCAAAGGTGCGTGCGGGCCAGAACTTCAGGGTGGAGCCAGCCGGGGCGACGAAGGCCTCCCCGGCGATCGAAACAGGCGAAGACTAAGAAAGGGCAGCGGTCTTGGTACGCAGTAGCGGCATTAGCGCATCTTCCTCTTCTGCAGACGCCGGGGCGGCATTAGCACATCTTCCTCTTCTGAAGACGCCGGGGCGGCATTAGCACATCTTCCTCGTCTGCAGACGCCGGGGCGGCATTAGCACATCTTCCTCTTCTGAAGACGCCGGAGCGGCATTAGCACATCTTCCTCTTCTGCAGGCGCCGGGGCGGTACCCCCCCGCAGGCCAAGTCCTCCGCGGCGTCCGAATAGCAGCCAGGCCATGATCTGCGCGTCGCAGATCTCGGCCTCCTCAAGCTCGTTGGCGACGGGGCAGAAGCAGCCGCAGAAGGCCTCGGCTCGGGGGGCCCTCGCAGCGGCGCGACCGGACAAGGCAGGGGTAGCAGCGGCGAGCGAAGCCAGAGGGCCCGTAAGCCAGGGAAAGAAGGAGGAGGAAGAAGAGGGGAGAACTTCCTTACCCCCCTCTTCCTCCCTCCTCCTCCTCCTCCTCCTCCTCCTCCTCCTCCTCCTCCTCCTCCACTTCCTCCTCCACGAGTTCACACGCTTGTGAAGGCGGTAATCCTGGTGATCCTCCTCCCCCAAGAGCGGGTAGCATCGAGTCGATACATCGGATCGTATCGGAACGCGCGTCGGATCGGGCTGCATCGACACGGAGTCAAAATCGAATCGAGTAAGCTGCGCCAGGTTGCACAGCAACACCATGGAAACAGCGGGCCGCATCACATCGTCAGAATATCGGAATCGAACCAGATCGAGCCGGCCAGAATCGATGTCGCACCGATTCGATCAGATTGGAACGGGCCCTGTGCCACCTCCTCCTCCTCCTCCTCCTCCTCCTCCTCCTCCTCCTCCTCCTCCTCCGCCGCCTCCTCCTCCCCCCCTCCTCCGACTCAAAGGGGCGGATCCAGGAAACAAGCGCAGGAGGGAGGGGGCCCAAGGAGAGCACAGAGGGAGAAGACCCCTGGCCTTGGCTCGGGCCACAGCTGCCTGCTCCGCAGACCGTGGGAGCGTGCAGAGTGCCAGAAGACTGGCGGGGGTCAAGACTGCAAGGGGGGGAGCCCAAGGAGTGACACAACGGGAGATCCAAAGGGGGAGCGCGTGGGAAGCCTGGGAGAGAGGGGGGGGCAGGGCACGGGGGAAGACCGCCGAGGAGGGAAGGGCATCGTGCTCCTGGAAGAGAGCGCTGAATCAGGAACGGAGAGCTGTTCTGGCAACGGCGAGCCCAGGCCACGAACAGCTTCCCCGACCTGAATCAAAGGAACAGCCCGAAAACCATGGCCCCTCCTGAGCACAGAAATGGTTAGTATTCCAGCGTCTTGGCAGAAAGGGTGGAGTTCAGCGGGGACCCGCGGGGTAATCCGCAAGAAGCGGGGCGCAGGGAAAGTCCAGGGGTGGTGGGGAAGACCGCATCGGGAGGAGCACAGCGAAACCCGATCGTAGGGATGTGCGGGAAGGATGCAGACCTCGGACGTACAAGTTCACGCTTTTTGAGAATACACGGCCAGCGATTCTGCTTCAAGATAGGCCGGACCCGCAAGGATGAAAATTTACAGCTGGAATGCTGCTTCTCCTCATGCCTGTGCTTGGCGGTGCACAGAAGCGTGGAGAGCACCAGGGAGCTCACGAACCAGCGGGGAGAACGGCGCGGAGGAGCAGATGAGTTGTTAAGAGTCCCCAAAGTCGGCGGTGGACAAACCTCCCTTTAGTAAACCTCCCCTCAGCGAAAACGGCCTACGACCGAAACCGACGGACCTGGACCCGCAGAACTGACGACCGCGACGCCCTCTCGCGGTCCGAAAACGGCCAATTCCTGAATCGACGTGTCAGGGTAGGAGGTCTATCAACCTCCGATTGGTAAGGGTCCCAAAAAGGCCGAAACTGACGAACAACGTCCCGTCGCGATGTCTTCGCTCCGCGGGGGGAGTCTGGGGCGGGGGGGCGCCCCGAGCTCGCCCGGCGCGGCAGGTGCCCCCCGCCGAGGGGCCCCGACCGCCGACCCCCCCCCCGGCGGCCGCAGTGCCGCCCCGACCCCTCTGGACCACGCCGGGGTCCTGGCGCCCTCGGCCCTGGAGGCGCTCGAGAGAGAGAGAGAGAATCGGGCGTTGGCAGAACTGGGGTTAGCGGGACCTGGTTTAGAGATGTGTGCTGGGGGGCGCCCCCCCCGCCCCGTTCCACTAACCAGGAACTGCCGTCACCAGAAAAAACACACCAGCTACGGCAGACCTGGTTTAGCGATTCTGGCCAACTTAGGGGCTCCAAGTTCCAAGGCCCTACTACTAACCGGGTCGCCTTACCTGGGGTCCTGGCTATACCCGGGAAAGGTTCTCGCCTTCGGCGCGCCCTCGCCCTCAGCGGAGGGCAGCGGAAAGCCGCCGTCGTCGTCGTCGTCGTCGTCGTCGTCGTCGTCGTCGTCGTCGTCGTCGTCGTCGTCGTCGTCGTCGTCGTCGTCGTCGTCGTCGTCGTCGTCGTCGTCGTCGTCGTCGTCGTCGAAAGCCGGCGGAAGTCGGGGTTTCTGGAAGCGGCCAGGGCGACCCCCGAATTACTGAATCACCACGTCTCATCACGGCTGGACCTAGGACAGCATAACATCCTTCAAGAACACGAGACCCTCCGCTGGCCAAACCGAAGGACCCTCGAGGGCACACACACACACACACAGGAAGTGCAAAAACACCCAACAGACACGAAGAACAGTAGGGGGCCATCCCCGAACGACCTCGATCCTATGCCTCGGTCCGACCGTCTCGTTTCCGCCGTGCCCCACCGAGTCTCCGTCCGCGGGCCCGCTCGGGGATCTACTGACCCGGGTCAATCCAGACCCTGGTCAGTCAGGCTTTGCAAGATGCTGCAAGGTCCTGCTGGACCCTGCAGGATCCTGAACCCAAGCCCGGGTCAGTGCAACCCTTGGCTCCGCAGGCTCCTGCAAGATCTGGCGCTCTGACTGACCCCCGTTTGCACAGACCCCCGCCTCTTGAGCCCCGACCCGCTGCCGTGGCACGCCCGCCGGCCTCCGCCGAGCGGCGAGGCGCGCTTCGAAGGCGAGGCCTTCTCTCTGGAGCGCTTCGTGCGGGTTTCTCGATGTGGGCTGCTCGCTCATCTCCCCCGCGTCCCATCGGCATCGCGGGCGCAGCTGCCCCAAGACGCAACACGCAAGACGTAGCGTGTTAATGCGGAGCTCAACACGTAGACTGAACACGTAGGTCTGACGCGATACGGTCGCCAAAACGTGGGCCGATACGCTGAGCCAACACGCAACGCATTGATAGGGACGTGTTAATCCTGGTCCGCGTTGCGTCTCAAAACAAGAGCAGCGAAGCAGCTGAGATCGCGAGAGCCCCGTCCGCCCCGGCCCCACTCCACACAGCGCCACGGGGGGGTCATCACCAAGGGGGCCACCACCTCCTCCAGGGAGCGGGCCCAAAAGGACGCCCAAAAGGGCAGTACCCTGGGGGCATTCTGATGCGGGTCTCTCTGGGGGAAAATGGGTGTCATCGAGGAGGAGGCGGAGGAGGAGGGGGGGGGTCATCTCGCAAGCACGTTTCCGCCTGCTCCTCCACCAGGACGAAGGGGCCGCATGCGTGCAGCGGGCAGAACGGAGCCGTGCGCTTCGAACCCATTCAGATTATCCTCCTTCTCCTCCGCCTCCTCCTCCTCCTTCTACTTCTCCTCCTCCTCCTCCTCCTCCTCCTCCTCCTCCTCCTCCTCCTCCTCCTCCTCCTCCTCCTGCTCCTCCTCCTCCTCCTCCTCCTCCTCCCCCTCCACCTGAAGACGGACACCTTGATCGCCATCGCTGCGTACCTTCGGCCAGGTCTGCTGTTCCATGGCATCAGCAGTGATAGCAAGGGTCGCACACGCGGCCTTCACGCGTGCATTGAACAACGCCTGGCGGACCATGCAGATTGGAATGTGGAGCCACACAAATGTAGCGAGAGTGGATGGTTGGACCAATTATCTACAATCAACCCGCACAGGAAGGATGGGCAACCTTCCCAAGGGTACCCTTGCATCCTTGCCTCAGTCCATCCTTCGCCGCTTTCGCTGGCCGCGCCCCGCTCGAAAAGCTTCGAAATGCGCGTCCAAGGCCCTTGCATCCTTATCGCGCATCCTTACTATACTTGTTGACTGTACTCGTACTGAGGCGCCCGATTGCAAGGTCACCTGTGACAAAGGCAAGGGCAGGATGCATGACTACGTGGTGGCCAGCCGCGCATGCCCACCTACCGCTGTCCAGGCTGAGCTGTGCGCCCCTTTGAAGACGCACTGCGCCCTCAACGTCTCTGTCCTTGGTGCTAGACAAGAGCGGTGGGCCATGAAACCAGTATCCCCCAAGCCCCTCCATGCCACGCCCAAGCCGCTGCCAGAGCCTGATCCTGACAGCAAGCGGCAGCGACTCCTGGCGGAGCAGAAGAATCGAAGGCAAGAAGCGGTTCCTCCCGAGCTTCGTAAAGGCTTTAATACAGTCTGCAAGTTGGCTCAGGAAGCGGAGGATCACCCGGCATCGAGCGAGGCTGTACCCTCCACGATCAAGATGTCTGATGACGATTGGATAGCCACCTACGCCTCGCTGTACTGTGACGTTGTTCCAAAAAACGATGCAAGCTTGAATTGGGATGATGGTGCGTCGCATTCTTCTCTTCGGTTGCCCCGGCAAGGCTGCGGAGCTGGCCCGACCCTGAGAAGGCTGAGATGGGACAGGACGCCCAGGCTGTGGGACCGCTTCGCGATCGCCCCTGGTTCCCCTCATCCCAAATCGGCTGGAGGGAACGGCCGAGTACCCTCCCTACAGCTGCCTGGGCATCTACTGGATCGATGATGGCGACTGCTGCCACGCATGACGATCGAGGATTGCATCGGCCTGGCCAGTGCCGCGCTTCGACCCAGGATGCTGGGCGTATCACGTCTCCCTCGGTTTCGCCCTCGGGGCCGCGGACCTGGCTGGGCCCTGAGAAGGCTGAGATGGGGCAGGATGCCCAGGCAGTGGGACCGCAGTGCGACACCAACCCTGGTTACCCTCAGCCCAAATCGGCTGGAGGGAAGGCGGAGCTCCGTCTGGACTTCACTGGCGGCATATTATGCTACGATTTCGGCATCGGAAACTGCACCTGGTGATAGTCAGTTGCGTTGTCAGGAAGCCCTAGTGGAGGGGAACACCTCAAGCGCAGTGGCGCCCCGTGGCGCTTGACCAAGACCTGAGGGAGCTCCTCTGGGGAACGCCCCAGGCTCACAGTCGCTACGTGCTGGGCGAATGCAGAAGTGGGGAGGCTACCAGAGTGACTTCGGTCTACTCGGCGGTTCCACGGGGCCGCGGTGGGCTGGCGGTCAGTCCAGTCCAG